GTCGGGAATGTGGAAGCAAGAGCATGGTCAAACTGGAAGGTGCAGATACATGCACAGACTGCGGAACAAGTGAGATGAACAACTTTTCCACCTATGTGAGTTACAATCACAATACGAACGACTACCTGAAAAGGAAGAGTAAGCATAACAGAGTCAAGTGGTTCAACCGTCTGTTTATGAAGCACGTTGCAAACAGAGACAGGGAAAGACTGTCAACCCTATTCAGGCTGGTGGTAAGGTGCAAAAAGAGAATGGGTCTGGAGAGAGGAAGGAATATCGTTAGATACAGGTTTTACCTGCTCCGGTTAGCGAGCATGTACAATATCGAACTGAGAAACCCTCTGGAGGACATTAAGACCCAGGAGATAGTTGACTTGTTGGAGGACCGGTTCTACGGATAAGTGTTTATGGAACTCAGGTGGAACGGTCGGAATTGTCCCTACTACCTTTCCTGGAAGTCAAAACAAAATTAAAAAAATTTCAAGACTATAGGGCGACCGAAAAATTTTTGACCTCAACTTAAAAATAATTTTCTACCAGTAAGTTATAGGGAGTGAGACGATGACAGGAAAACAGAAGTAAGAAACCAACCTACAAGTGGAGTGCAGGCCCGCGAATTGCGAGATCAAAGCCTAGCGGAGAGCGTTCAGATCAAAAAATATTTTAGACTATAAGAATACAGAGAGCGATAAAATGGGCCTTGATCTAAAGAGTAAAAAATATACTACAAATATAGAGAGCGATAAAATGGACCTTGACCTAAAGAGTAAAAAATATACTACAAATATAGAGAGCAATAAAATCGACCTTGACCTAAAGAGTAAAAAATATACTACAAACATAGAGAGTGGTAAAATGGACCTTGACCTAAAGAGTAAAAAATATACTACAAATATAGGAGACAAGATGAAGAGAAGATACGTGAGCGACGACGAGCTTGACCCACTCAGCGAACGGAGAAAAGCAGGGAAACCCGGCAGATCATCACGAGAACCACCAAAGATACCAGAAAAAGCAAAACCATGGAGACCAACACCCAAACCAAGAACAGTGCTGCCAATACTGAGACCAACAACAGCGCTCCCAAGAACAAGACCAATACCGAGACCAAGAACAAGACCACTAATGACCAAACCAACAACAGCGCTCCCAAGAACAAGACCAATACCGAGATCAAGAACAAGACCACTAATGCCAACAGCCGGACCGAAAACATACACCTCAAGCGTGCACATTAATCTAGTGAAACCCAAAACGATATCAGTGGCAAGCATAACACCAAGACAAACGCAAACACCTCCAACCAAGCAGGCAAAGCCAACGGTAAAATCGTCAATCAAAATAAACCTTAAAAAACCAGCAGTAACACAACCGAAACCCAAAACCAGAAAACCTGATAGGAAAATGAGGGAAGTTGAACCGCAACCCAATTTGCTACAATACACTGTACCGCAGATAGACCCATTTGGTACAGATCTACAGAAGCCTAATCACAGGAAGATAGAGACTGCAGCCAATGGAGCGGCTGTCACGTACTCCATATCACCGGCACACATAGGCCCACTGGATCCGCTAACCTCCAGCAGACAGGTTGTGAGGGATATAAAATTGCAGTAATTGTGTTATTGTTTATAAGGTTAATTTCTTGTTGGAAAACTCCTGAAAATGCTGGAAATAGCTTATCTGAGCTTTAAGAAATCCAAAATTTCCTCTAGAAGCTTGCACCTTCGGTGATCGACTCGGTTGTCTCCGAATCCTAGTTACGGCCTGATCTGCTGCCCGATGACGTATACTTATTAGTTAAACCATGCATATATATGCTGATAGCTGCAGTGATACAAACTGGCCGACTGGAACTTCTCCAGGTCTCCCGCTAAATATGTCCCCTCCAGTTACGCATCCTTAAAAGAGGTCCTGAATTTTAATTGCGCCATTTGAATAACTATTGAGTATTGTAACACATAATTCAAAGAAAAATAGAACGCTGGCATCTTTTGCCTTTCTGAAAGGGTGGGTCATAATTTTTCAGCACCAATTTAAGGGTGGGCCACGAATTTTTCCATCTGCAGCTATTAAGGGGTGGGCTACCAAAAGTGCAGACACCAAATATATGATTTTTCCAGCCTCTCCCTCCTTTTCCTTTATGACCAGTCCCTTAGTCCTGTGATACAACTGAATTGATCACATGTAGCGTTATATTTACCGAAACTAGCCTTATGCTAATACATACACCAAAAGAACGGTTTAAACCAGTTGTTTTTACGAAAGTCAAACTTGTAGTGAAATTTGAAAAGTTTTTACACGGATTTTATAAACAAAAAAGAACACTAATGGAAGTATCGTTGAATATCTCAAATCAAATATCAGTACAATTATTTAAGAATAGATCGGCACGGTTTTTCCTCATAAACAAAATTATAGCGTTTTTCTTCGACGAAGCACGTAAAATTTGCGAATCTCTTCGATCAGTTGCATTACTTCCTCTGCTCAGAAAGTACGTAGCACGCGACCACAGTTTCATGCACGCGCATGACAAACCAATGATTTTGCAAGATTCCCAAAATAACTTGGCCCGCAGGTGACCAGCATGGCCGACCAGTTTAATCGCAAAAAATTACCTAAACACAATACGAATGAAATTGGTACCTTTAATTTTAAATTTGATTTTTTCTGTGTTGGTGTAATGTACTCAGGTGAATATGATGTTTGTGATGTTACTCTGAGTGTATATCCACACCGGGCAAGCTTGAAAAATATGCCTGTCTACGGTGGAAATCTAACCTACGACCTTTGGAATACTAGCCCAATGCTCTGCCAACTGAGCTACGCGTAACATCAGAGTAACATCACAAGCATCATATTCACCTGAGTACATTACACCAACATAGAAAAAAATCATCAGATTATTAGATTACATTGATATCGAAGGAACAAGATTCTGTTCAGAAAATTTCACATACTCGAACCAACCTGACCGCGTAGCACAGTTGGCACAGCATTGGGCAGGGCTAGTATTCCAAAGATCGTAGGTTCGATTCCCACCGTGCATGGACAAGCATATTTTTCAAGCTTGCCCGGTGTGGATATACAGGCTCAGAGTAACCCCACAAGCATCAATTTTAAATTTAGAGATTTCAGGCCTCTAGAATCAAGGTTTCCTTCGGGGCATACAACGGTTTGAAAGACTTGAAATATAATCTGAAAAACGATACACCAGAAATATATTGCATATATTGCAGAAATATTTTTTTCGAATGCGAGCAATACTAAACGATGATCATAGCCGGCAAGTCCGGTGTACAAGCTCAGTTCTTGGCGTACATATAGCGTATATTTGTTTACAAAGACATAGTATTAAATATAAACACAACTGATTATTCAAAAGGATGCATTTTAAAGTAATTATAAGTTAACTGGCCAAGTAAGACGAAGTTAAACATTTTACATCTAAAGAAAATGCTTTATCGCGAGGGGTCGGGACATATAAGCAGATTTAATTGTCAATTATAAATTGTCAATTTCCGTCCGGTTTGTTGTATTTTACAGGGACCGCGGAGACGGGGGGGCTGGGGGGCTTTAGCCCCCCCCCACTTTTTTTGACAGCCAAAATTATTAAAATAGAAATCTAAATCAAACTTTCTAAATTAATTAAACCTCACCCTTTAGCCCCCCACTCTCTAATACGCTCCGCGGGCCCTGTTTTATATTTGTCAACATTGTTCGCTGAGTGTCCAAACGCTAGAATTTTATCTTGATTTTCTTAACTTCGATACAACACAAATTTAAGTGCAACAGATTATATTTCAAGTCTCTCAACCTTGATTCTTGACGAAATCTCTGAATTTAAAATTATTGTGTCGTTATTTTAGACGATGCAAATTATTAAATAACCAATGAAATATCTTCATTTGTCATATATTATTCAAATAAAGCAGTGTCAATTCAGAGGCCTTTGCACAAATCTGTGGAAAATCTACGTGACCAGAACAAGGAATCTTCATCCAACTCAGAGACGTTCTCTGGGGCGCTTCGTCGTGAATAATGTCTGCACACAGGCTAGTGATTCACTGAACATGTCTGTGAAAAAAGCCATTTGAAGTCTAGTTGAAAAATTTTGCCTCTTGCTGCTCAAAAAATTAAAAAAATATTTTGTGTACTTCACAGGAAACATTATGTCATTCTTAAGGAGATTGTATGTATTATGAATACCAAAGGACGACAGTATAAAATGTATTATAAAACGACGTTATAAAAAGTATTATTTTTCAGGTATTTGTATCCTACCAATCTGCAGCCTTAGTATATAATTACCCACGTCCGGTTAATAGTGATTTTCCCTAGTATTTACCACTGACAGAATTTGCAGTTGTTTTCAGTTGATTGCATTGCAAAAAGTATCAAATTTTCCGATTTCTAGTCGACGAGAAATTCTAATACTTTGTTGATATAAATTGCAAAAATTGCTGCCCGGGTGATTTAAAGTTGCGGATTAAAGCCCCGTTTACGCTACGCTCAATTTTTGGTACGGCACGGATAAAACTGGTACCCGTACCACTTTTTTGAAAGTGGTACGGTACCAAAAATTGAGCGTAGTGTAAATGGGACTTATAGCTAAATAGGTAGTCCAAGAACCAAAAAAGTGGTACGGGTACCAATTTTATCCTTGCCGTACCAAAAATTGAGCGTAGTGTAAACGGGGCGTAGTGTAAAGCACGAGCATGCGTAAAATTAACGTGAAAAATTCAATTTATCCAGAGCTATACCTAACGAACGGGCATGCTCTCGGAACGAAGATTCGGTCAGTGATTGCGTCAACTGTCAAACATGAATATGTATTCTTGACAATAGTGTGTGACCTGAAGGGTTCTCTTAAGAGCTGTTCCATTTACTGTTAAGAATATTCCGGATTTTGGGAACACTAATGGAATGGAACAGAATATGGTCGCATGACTGTTCGAAACTGTTCTGGCTGCCCCAACTTCAATGTAGGGGCAGCTAGAACATATACGTGACACTGCATATTTTCATGTGTTTGGAAATGGAGGCGACAGATTGCGTACAGTGTTACTTTAAAGGGTTAACCACTATATTTCGACACCACTATTGATGATACTGACATTACGTTTGATCGTTTCGTCAAACCAGCTACATAAAAAATGACACGCTTTAAGTTAGTTTCACATACTAAAGTAGTGAAGCTTCTAAATGGTTTATCCAATTCGAAAGCAACTGGTCTTGATAAAATATCTGGAAAGATTTTAAAAACTGCAGCCCCTACTATTGCCTTATCACTCACACACATCTTTAATCATGCTATCATAACAAACTGTTTTCCATATGAATGGAAAGCTGCTAGACTTCTACCACTTCATAAAAAGGGTCCACGAGATCTCCCAGAAAACTATAGGCCAATCTCAATCTTACCTGCAATAAGTAAAGTTATGGAAAGAATTATGTATGATCAGATCTATGAATACCTTAACGACAATTCGATCCTTTCTGAACACCAATTTGGTTTCCGCAAATCTCATTCAACTGCTTCGGCTCTTTTGGATTGCACGAACAGTTGGTACGTTAATATGGACCGCAAAATGTTTAATTTGGTTGTATTATTGTATTTAAAAAAGGCCTTTGATACTGTAAACCATGATATTTTGGTGCGAAAACTTGCATGAGCTATACGGTATCAATGGTAGTGCCTTAACCATGATACAATCATACTTGTCTGATCGCAAACAGAAATGCCAACTGGGAGACGTAATGTCATCTGAGCGACATGTGACATGCGGTATTCCACAGGGATCCATCCTTGGTCCACTTCTCTTCCTCTTATATATAAATGATCTTCCAGAATGTCTTCATGAAGCTGCCCCTTGGCTATTTGCCGATGATACCAATCTTACGGTAGCTGGTGAGTCAATAGAGGAAGTTGAATTGGACATGAATAATGATCTCCTTAGTGTACATACCTGGATTTTAGCCAACAAACTGAGTCTCAATGCTTCAAAAACCGAATTTATATTTATTAGTTCAAATCATAGATTAACGAACCTTACTAATCAACCAAATATAAAAATAGATCAAGACAAAATTAAGCAAGTTCATCATAGTAGATTACTTGGGGTTCAAATTGATGAAAAATTGTCTTGGAACAAGCATGTTGAAAGCGTGGCCAAGAAGGTTACGTCCGGTGTAGGAGCTTTAAGAAGAATACGTGACTTTGTCGATAGGGAAACCTTGATCTCTATCTACAATGCTTTAGTTCGCCCTCATTTCGATTATTGCAGTGAGGTATGGGATACCTTGGGCATTGGCCTTTCAACTCGACTTCAAAAACTGCAGAATAGAGCGGCGAGAATAGTAATGGGTATGACAAATGATACCCCTGGATTAGAAGCAATTACTGCCTTAGGGTGGGAAACTCTTGAGTCTCAACGAGCTAAGTCTAAAGCAGTACAAATGTACAAAGTTTTAAATTATTTGTCCCCAAATGCACTTGTTAATCTTTTAATGCGTAAAAGTGATGTCACAGATTACGAGCTTAGGGGTTCCTCTACATCACTGCAAATTCCTTTCCCCAGGACTGAAAATATTAAGAAAAGTTTTTCTTACGATGGGGCGAAATTGTGGAATTGCTTACCTGAAGATTTGCGTGATTCGGCTACCTTGCCAATATTTAAAAGTCGAATTAGTGCTCACAATTTCTCATAATATAATGTAAATATTATTATTATGGTATAATATTAGGTTGACTATTGTAAATATGTTTGTTACTATTTATAATGTAATTGACACGCCCCTCGTGGAAATCAGCGAAAGTTGACGAGGCTACCGTATGATTTTTAAATAAAGTTTATCATCATCATGTTTGGAAAAAATCAACGAATAAAAACGGTTGCAAAAGCATACTTACTCTAAGGTTACAATATATGACGAGACTCTGATTTTGTCCAAAAAATTTTTTTACATAGTTAGGCCTATATTAGGTAATGATATATCTATCAATTCCAGCAACTTTTTTAAGAAAATGTTAAAAAGCGACCGAGATATAGGGGAACATGCTATGACCACTGAATAGCTTCGCGCGAAACTTGTTATTATGATGACCTCTTGCGGTTAAATACAATTAGTATTAACCGCAAGAGGAACCGGTCTAAGCCAAAACGCAAACGCAGTAGAAAAGTCACCGAAGCCAACATCGCGCATAACTTGAAGCCAACATCACGCATAGCTTGAACTTCGAGAGACTCTGTAAATACTATATTATAAGCTTTCTAATGTTGTCGCAATGATATATGCCTCCGAACAATAACTTATATTTTAGTGAATTTCACACCTTGATATTTGACGCCAGCAAAGTTCACACTTTGTGGTGTGGCCACAAGTGGATTAACATTGGGGGCGGAGAAATGATAGAAAGAGTGGAAACCTCGCCAAATCTTTTATGGTCATTTGAAGACAAAGCAAAATTACCCAATCTCCTCGACAAAAAAGAGTTTAACGACAGAACGTTTTATCCGATTCGTCCCAAACTTGACCACAATGTTAATCAATAATAAAGGAACTAAAGTTTGTTCGCGTTTTCGATTTAGTGCATTATTTTTCAATTTAGAAGCATCTCTTCAACCGCTTATACCCGCGCAAGATAAGTCAAGTTGTCTGCTTTATATCAAAGCGAATACAATAGCTGTCAAAAAATGCGAACACACTTTTCTTCTTTGGACATTTGAGATGAGAAATATGATATTTTGGGAGCTCCTGAGTTAAACGGTCTGTCGTTAAATCTCGTGGCGCAGGAGGTGCTACTTTTCAAAAGATGTCTCATTGCGACTACAGGTTAAACGTGGTGAATTTTGGTTAAAGCAGTAGGTTCTACAGTTAGTTATGATCGCATGTACCAAATTTGAGGAACGTAACTAAAAAATTGAGCACGAAGTGCCAATTTTTCTGAAACAGGAATCTATCATATGATGTAACCTTAAATATACAAATAAGAGCAATTCAGTATACGAAAACAGGTGGGAAATTTGTCTGAGCATGCGCGAGCAAAATGAGACACACAATTGCGTGGAATACACGCAACGCGTGTTTACAAAAAGGCACAATCGTGTAAATATTGCCAAATGTTTGTACAAAGTAAATGACTGTTTTATGTTGAAAATGGACATGATCTAAATTAATCATACTGAATTTTTAGTGACGTTCTATTTCCGTACCCTGCCATTGTCCTTGGTGTGCTGTCCGTGTGCATTCTGATCTGAAACAGTCGCTACTTTGCTGTCGAAAAATTTCGAATGTTTACATGAAAATAGAGGCAAGCCATGCATTTTACAACCTCGTAAACTGTATGAGCCCCTATTTTTACGCTTATACCTAAGATATCAAATAAAAATACATGAAACAGAGAACATTTTTAGAAAGTTTTATCGTGAGGCCACGGCCAGTTTTTGAAATATCTTTATTTCTGTTCCGGTCATCACCAAAATTACTAAAGCCGGGCTTGAATATACAACAAATTTTGAATCTCGTCAAGTACAAAAATATTTAACGTGTAACCAAAATATGCTCATGAAATGGAAATTAATAGCTAAATTTTCGAACTAGACCATTCTCGAAGCGGTTTTCATGAAGGAAGTTCACATTTCGGCCTTTGATTCTTGGCAAAAATTTGACCACAATACGTGCGAAGCAACTGGGTCTCAAAGACGTAGCTAAAACATTGTGAGCCCCTATTTTCCTGACGATATATTTGATACCTACAAACGCCGAAAAGGTTTTTCTTTTCATTTAGTTATATTTAAAATTGAGGCCACGGGCTATTTTTGAGAAAATACAGTTCAAAGTCAAGCTAATTTTACATATTTTCAAAATTTGTCAAATTTCGCGAGCTTGTATTTTGAACTTAGACAGATCAAGTTACATTAAGAAACATAATATGGAGAATTTGAGGCATATAAAGTTAATTTCAACTTACATTTCATTCTCATATCACGTCGTTCTTCGTTTATTACGGTTTTAAATAAGCCACAGCTCGACGTATACGGTATTTACTCCCATGTTCACGTCGCCATTTTCACTTCTTCCACAATCACTCGATTACAAAAAGAATCATCCGAAAACAAGGAATTCATGATCGATTTTTAAAAGAATAACCGTTAATTTGTAAAGCGTTGAATGGAAAGCAAAAAATCGTCAGCTAAAACAGCTTCTTGCTAACTTTCTGCTTTGTTTTGAATGTAAATGCAATGAGCTTTGTTTCTGCCCGCGATTTTTTGGTCAGCGACGACAAATTTCCCACCTGTTG